AGTCTAAACCCATGAACTGTTTTCTTCTGCTTCCAAGTCGAGTCAAATTCCCTGAAGGCATCCTTGAACTAAAATTAACCTGGACTGTGACTCCATCAAACAGCAGTAAGCCAGATTTCCTCTCTCACCCCTTAGAACCCAGAAAATGCCTAGTCTTCAAGGTAGTTGAAAAGACTGTTCTCAGCCAGGTACAATGCCTCATGCCTGTAATCCCAGCACTTTGGGAGGCCAAGGCGGGTGGATCACTTGAGTTCAGGAGTTAGAGACCAGTCTGGGCAACACGCTGAAACCCCATCTCTACTAAATATACAAAGTTAGGCCGGGAACAGTGGCACATGCCTGTAATCCCAGCACTTTGGGAGGCTAAGGTGGGTGGATCACGAGGTCAGGAGACTGAGACCATCCTGGCTAACACAGTGAAACCTGTCTCTACTAAAACTACAAAAAAAACTGGCCGGGCATGGTGGCACTCGCCTGTAGTCCCAACTAGGTGATAAAGCAAGACTCCATCTCAAAAAATAAGTAAATAAATAAGCTGGGTGCGGTGGTCGGCACCTGTAATCCCAGTTACTTGGGCTGAGGCAGGAGAGTCGGTTGAACCCGAGAGGCAGAGGTTGCAGTGAGCCGAGATCATGCCACTGCACTCCAGCCTCGGGGACAAAGCAAGACTCTGTCTCAAAAAAAAAAAAAAAGTGTTATTACTCAATCATTTGAAACCAGTTCATAGAAAGGACAAAACGGTTACTTCAGTCTAGATGCAAGGTCAAATCTTAAATTATGACTAAGGCCACAAACAAAAAAAAAAAAAAAAAAAAAAAAGGGGGATCGTATTTGAGCAAATGTATGCCAAGCACTATAGCCTGTCATTCCACTGGCTCTCAAATTTCCTCTTCCAACTCCAAATACTTTCTACCTCATCATTATACTAACACAGTTATTTAAGCGTTATATTAAGTACCGAGAACATCCACCTGGAAGGTGGGTAAAAGAAAGGAAGCAGGGGTTGGTGGTGAAGAGTAAAAGAACTAGACCAATTCCCTTTCTGCTTCTCTCACACTAAATAGTGTAAAGAAAGCCTCTGGCTGGTCCGAAGGTAGTGAGTTATCTCAATTGATTGTTCACAGTCAGTTACAGATCGAACTCCTTGTTCTACCCCTTCCCTCCTTCTCACTACTGCACTTGACTAGTCTTAAAAAAAAGAAAAGAAAAAGAAAAAGAAAGCCTCCTCACAGCAGCACCACAGCTATCCAGAGAGGCCCACTTTCCTTTTCCTCCGAGGTAGAGAATACTCACTTGGCCTGTAAAAAGAGTTCCTTGTTAAAAGGCTTATGTCCCCACTTGTTCCTTTTTCCCCAGCTACCATGTCCACTGCCTTCAAAGTGACCCATCTGGCCACGGGGTTCAAAAGTGAAATTCAACAAGTGGTTCAGGTTGATCTTCTTAGGACCAGAGAACTGGGCAGGGCTAAACTCTGCCCGTTGAGCCTCTGCTACCTAGAGAGAATGAGAATGAATTAGTATTTCAGATTAAGATGACACTGATTTATAGCAGAAACCCAAAGAAACTCCTCCTTCCATAAAACTTAAATTTTTTTTGAGATAGCGTCTCGCTCCGTCACCCAGGCTAGAGTGCAATGGCATGATCTCAGCTCACTGCAACCTCAGCCTCCCGAGTTCAATTTTCCTGCCTCAGCCTCCAGAGTAGCTGGACTACAGGGAGCCGCCACCACTCCCAACTAATATTTGTACTTTTAGTAGAGATGGGGTTTCACCATGTTAGCCAGGCTGGTCTTGAACTCCTGATCCAGCCTCCTCAGCCTCCCAAAGTGCTGGGATTACAGGCGTGAGCCACCAGGCTTAAAATAGTAACTAAATAGGCTTTGTATATGGAGTAGCCATTCTTTTATTCCTTTTTTAAAAAAATTAAATAAAACAGGCTTAAAGCAAAAAAGTCATCCTGGGAGGGAGTAATACAAAAAGCCTATCCAAGAGTGAACAGAAGTGATGAGGGGAAAAAGAGCCTTTACAATAGGATTAAACTGTTTAATCTGCCCTGCTAAGTGACAATTAACCATTCAATGACAAAACCCAGCAAGAACATCTCTAGCTATTTTTAATCACAAAAATTTACTTAGCTGGATTAATCTTTTCAACAGTCCCATAGGACTCCAACACCTTCACTCTTGTTAACTATTTGTTCTTTGGTCTGCTTCTGGCAACGCAAGTCTGTGTAGCCACACTCTGGAGATGGCTTGCAGGCAGAACTGCTGACCCAGGTTCTAGATCCTACCAGACCTCCCATCTAAGACACAGTTATTCACTGCTAATTAAAACTGACAGAACTGGAACATGTGGGCAGACTAGCTCTGTGTCCAGAAATAAACGCAATCAGCAGATTCAGAAACAGTTCATAAGGTAGCCAAGAAACCATACGAGAAACACCACTGCAAGCGAAGATGTGGAGGAAACCATGGCAAGGTGCATCTCAGTCCTCTGGACGTTCTCAAATTGCAGTAAAACAAATGGAAGTCAGCTGGGGCATTTCCCAGCTCCACTTTCCCACTTAATGTTATAAATACTTCGTTAGTCACTTCAAATAGCTGCATACCATTGCATTATATGAGTATACCATAGTTTACTGCCCTACTGTATGATACAGATTGTTTGCAGCTTTTCCACTGTTTCAAAATAATGCAGTGATAAGCACATTTTTAATTTTTATTTTGTTTTTATTTTTTGAGACAGAGTCTCGTTCTGTCACCCAGGCTGGAGTGCAGTGGCGCAATGATCAGTTCACGCAATTCTCTGCCTCAGCCTCCTGAGTAGCAGTATCTGGGATTACAGGTACCCGCCACCACACCTGGCTAATTTTTGTATTTCTAGTGGAGACCGGGCTTCACCATCTTGGCCAGGCTGGTCTTGAACGCCTGACCTTGTAATTCATGGGCCTTGGCCTCCCAAAGTACTGGGATTACAGGCATGAGCCATCATGCCTGGCCTTGGACACATTCTTTATGCACAAATATTTGAGTACCTACAATTATTTCTTTTGAATGTACAGAGGAAATATTGAATCAAAGAAAATGCAAATTTAAGGTTTTTGCTGCTTAGTCAAATTTGAAGATTTTTGGTAAGCAGCACTTGCAAATACACAGTAAATAATCCAAAGACATGGGGGCTTATGCCTGTAATCCAGCACTTTGGGAGGCCAAGGAGGGCAGACCATAAGGTCAAGAGATCAAGACCAACATGGTGAAACCCTGTCTCTACTAAAAATATAAAAATTAGCTGGGCGTGGTGGCACACACCTGTAGTCCCAGCTACTCGAGAAGCTGAGGCAGGAGAATCGCTTGAACCCAGGAGACAGATTGTGTGCCACTGCACTCCAGCCTGGTGACAGAGTGAGACTCTGTCTCAAAAACAAAAAGAATACAAAGAATACAAAAAGGGATATGGTGAAACGCAATTTCTCTTCCAGAGGAAATTAACATATTCTCTGAGATATTCTATGCATACAGAATCATGGTACATGACCTTTGATATGGTTTGGATTTGTGTTCCCTCCCAAATCTTGTGTAGAATTGTAATCCCCAGTGTTGGTGGAGGGGTCTAGTGAGGTGATTAGATCATGGGGCAGACTTCCCCCTTCCTGTTCTCATGACAGTGAGTTCTCAGGAGATCTGGTTGTTTACAAGTATGTAGCTGGGCGCAGTGGCTCACGCCTGTAATCCCAGCACTTTGGGAGGCCAAGGCGGGCTGATCACAAGGTCAAGAGATCGAGACCATCTGGCCAACATGGTGAAACCCCATCTCTACTAAAAATACAAAAATTAGCTGGGCATGGTGGCACACACCTGTAGTCCCAGCTACTCGGGAAGCTGAAGCAGGAGAATTGTTTGAACTCAGGAGGCAGAGGTTGCAGTGAGCCAAGACCATGCCATTGCACTCCAGCCTGGTGACAGAACAAGATTCTGTCTTTAAAAAAAAAAAAAAAAAGGATGTAGCACTTCCTCTTATCTTCTGCTCTCTTCGTCCTCCTCTTGCCATGTAAGATGTGCCTGCTTCCCCTTCGCCTTCTGCCATAATTGTAAGTTTCCTGAGGCCTCCCCAGTCATGCTTCCTGTACAGCCTGCAGAACTATGAGTCAATTAAACTTCTCTTCTTTATAAATTACCCAGTCTCAGGTAGCTCTCAATAGGAAAGAGAGAATGGACTAATACAATCTTTAAAAATAAATGCAGGCCAGGCGCAGTGGCTCACGCCTGTAATCTTAGCACTTTGGGAGGCCGAGGTGGGTGGATCACCTGAGGTCAGGAGTTCAAGACCAGCCTGGCCATCATGGTGAAACCCCATCTTTGAAAAAAAAGAAAAATAAATAAATACAAAGCCAGGCATGGTAGTGCACACCTGCAGTCTCAGCCACTCAGGAGGCTGAAGAGGATCACTTGAGCCCAGGAATTCAATGTTGCAGTGCACTATGATCATACATGTGAATAGCCACTGCACTCCAGCCTGGGACATAATAAGACTCTGTGTCTGAAAAATAAAATCTAAAATTTAAAAATAAAATCAGGATGGGCAGCCGGGTGCAGTGACTCCTGCCTGTAATCCCAGCACTTTGGGAGGCCGAGGCGGGCAGATCACAAGGTCAGGAGTTTGAGACCAGCCTGGTCTACATGGTGAAACCCCATCTCTACTAAAAATACAAAAATTAGCTGGGTATGTGGCATGCACCTGTAATCCCAGCTATTCAGGAGGATGACACAAAGGAGAATTGCTTAAACCCAGGAGGCAGAGGTTGCAGTAAGCCGAGATCGTGCCACTGCACTCCAGCCTTGGTGACAGAGCAAGACTCTGTCTCAAAAAAAAAAAAAAAAAAAAAAAAATTAGGATGGGCACAGTGGCTCACATCTGTAATCCCAGTGCTTTAGGAGGCCAAGAAGGGAGGATCATTTGAAACAAGCAGTTTGAGATCAACCTGGGCAACACAGGGATACTATGTCTCTACAAAAAATTGAAAAATTAGCCAGGCTTAGTGGTACATGCCTATAGTCCCAGCTACCTGGAAGGCTGAGGTAGGCGGATGATTTGAGCCCAGTAGGTCAAGGCTGCAGTGAGCCACAATCATGCCACTGCACTCCAGCCTTGGTGACACAGCAGACCCTGTCTCAAAAATAATAAATTAAAAATAATTAATTAGGTCGTGGTGGCTCACGCCTGTAATCCCAGCACTTTGGGAGGCCGAGGTGGGCGGATCACAAGGTTAGGAGTTCAAGATCAGCGTGGCCAATATGGTGAAACCCCATCTCTGCTAAAAATACAAAAATTAGCTGGGCACCATGGTGGGCGCCTGTGATCCCGGCTACTCGGGAGGCTGAGGCAGGAGAATTGCCTGAACCCAGGAGGCGGAGGTTACAGTGAGCTGATATCGCACTACTGCACTCCAGCCTGGGGGACACAGCAAGACTCTGTCTCAAAAAAAAAAAAATTTTAATTTAATACAACTGGTGGTATACCATACAGTCAGATAACTTCCTTGCTTATATTAACAATCAAGCTTAAAGGTAACACCACATTCTGTTTATGTCTGTCCAATATGGGAAGCCCAAGACTTCCAGGTCATCCCTTACTTTTCATCTCCACATGGCTCTGGTATCTCCCTGATCAGTCTTCCACACTCAGTGCCCCTAACTTAGATCTAAGAGCTTACGCTCAGTCAACAAAATCCTCCACATTCTCAACCTTCTATCATCTTCAGGTTGTCCTAACTGGCCACTGTCACTTTCTCGGACACCACTCATATTTCCTGATTATCCTCCCAATACCCTAAACTCCAGGTACTTGACCTCCTCTCTTCCAATTAGCTTGCCCCTCCCATCTCAGCCACCCATACCCATGGGTTTTCCTTCTAGACTGTAATGTCCAATACAGCAGCCACTAGCTAGATATAGCTACTAAGCACTTAAAATGTGGCTGTACCATGTAGTAAACTTACATTTTAGATATAGTGAATTAAATACATTAAAATTGACTTCTTTTTTAACTTCTTTAGTGCAGGCAACTAGAAAATGTAAGATTACGGCCGGGCGCGGTGGCTCACGCCTGTAATCCCAGCACTTTGGGAGGCCGAGGCGGGTGGATCACAAGGTCAAGAGATCCAGACCATCCTGGTCAACATGGTGAAACCCCATCTCTACTAAAAATACAAAAAATTAGCTGGGCATGGTGGTGCGTGCCTGTAATCCCAGCTACTCGGGAGGCTGAGGCAGGAGAATTGCCTGAACCCAGGAGGCGGAGGTTGCAGTGAGCCGAGATCGCACCATTGCACTCCAGCCTGGGTAACAAGAGCGAAACTCTGTCTCAAAAAAAAAAAAAAAAAAAAAAAAAAAAAAAAAAAGAAAATGTAAGATTACATACGTGGCCTGTTATCCTATTAGACAGGTGTGTTCTACAGTCTAGACTATGCTGACAACCACGACCTCTTCTACCATATTAACTTTGAGCATTCTCTTGTTCAACCAGGAATACACTCCTTCCCGAGGTTTAGTCCTGACTCCGTCAATTCTTTACCCCCACTAGGATCTCCAAATCAATGATCCAACCTGTCAGATTTGGCTTAGATCCTATGGTCCACTGCCCACTTCCTTTTTTAAATTTTATGTTTTGGGACAGAGTCTTGCTCTGTCGCCCAAACTGGAGTGCAGTGACGCGCTATCAGCTCCCTGCAACCTCTGTCTCCCGGGTTCAAGCGATTCTCCTGCCTCAGCCTCCCGAGTAGCTGGGATTACAGGTGTCTACCACCACACCCGGCTAATTTTTGTATTTTTAGTAGAGACAGGGTTTCACCACATTGACCAGGTTGGTCTCGAACTCCTGACCTCATGATCCGCCCACCACGACCTCCCAAAGTGCTGGGATTACAGGCATGAGCCACCATGCCCCGTCCCACCACCTACTTCTTCATACATCTTCTGTATGCACCTGGCAAAACCTTCCCCTGATTAATTCAACTCTTGGCCTATTCCACATCAGCCCTGGAGCAGACAAACAGGGCTAACAAACACAACCACACTGATCAGCCTCACCATAGTAGACCCTCATGCTGCCTAGTAGTACTGCAATCCTAGTACACTTCTGCAGTCCATTCATCTCTCATTTTCCCAGACAACTCCTTCACTCCTCACGTTTCCAAACCTCCCTTCGGCTCCCCTTACGTCTTCCATTGAGAAAATTAGAACAATCAAAAAAGAATTCCAACTGCCTCCGACCCCACCTCCGCCACCAGGCCTTCCTTTTGTTACTGGGGATGAACTGGCAGAGTTCCTATCAAAGCCAACTGCTCCACTTCACACTAGATCTCAAAGACTCAAGGACACTGCTCAGCAATTCTCTCCCTTTCCCCTGCATCGCTTTCCCTCTCACCAGAACCCTCCCATGAGCACAGACATGCTATAATTTCCCTAATCTTAAAATCCCTCATGCAGCTGGGCACAGTGGCTTACACCTATAATCCCAGCACTTTGGGAGGCCACGGCGGGCAGATCACCTGAAGTCAGGAGTTCGAAACCAGCCTGGCCAACATGGCGAAACCCCATCTCTACTAAAAATACAAAAAAAATAGCCAGACGTGGTGGCGGGTGCCTGTAATCCCAGCTACT